TAACCCTAACCCTAACCCTAACCCTAAGTTATTATTCGAGAGACATGCCGCCACGGCATCTCATTTTAAGCGGTCTCGCGCTGGAAGTCCTTGACCTTGATATCACGCCAAATGACAACTGAGAAGATAGCGATGACTAAGAGCGAAGTCGCTGAAGCCATCATGATCCTCTAGGCTTCACCATAAGCCCAGTCAGTGGCCAGCCGCGTTGCAGAGCCCACAGGGTAAGACAACTGCTTGCGCAAGCTCGAAATGATTAGCAGAGCCTCGTTCTTCGTCTCGGGAGGAAGATACTCTTGTACCCTGCCAGGGAAATCACCGTTCCATATAGCCGTAGATAAAGTGCATCCAAAAGAGCCACCGATCGAGGAGAACATTGCAAGTAGCGCCAATACAACAGCGACATGTTTGTGTGGCACAGCAGCCATGATAGCTATCTGTTCACAAATAACAAGGGTTCCGCCTGATATGGCAATGAAAACCTGAGCCATGATAATGTACCCAAGATCTCTGCCTGGCTAACGGAAATAGATCATCAGGCCAACGCCTAGAACGCGAAAGGGGCACTAAAGTACAGTGCGAACCATCTGAAGCGACCGGTCCATCGAATGAGCACACCAACAATGAACCCCCATAAGCAGCACGTAATACTATGAATACGTCCGACCGATGTGGCTTGCACAATCAAAGCTTCAGGAAAGACCTGCGGGAGAGAGGGGAAAAAGGCTGACCAGATGTAGAAAGAGATGAACACACCTGCAGTCGTGATACAAGCGCCAAGAACGGCGCGGTCTACGAGGAGCTCAAAGTGGATAAATTTGGGGGGGGGGGGGCTAGGCACTTCTCATAATAGAAAACAAGACGAGGAGTGGGAATCCAAACACAAGCATGCAAATAATTATTGGGGAGCGCCAGCCTTGCGCCTGATAAGAGTAGATATTAAAAGGGAGGAGGACGTGACAAGGGCTTGATATCAAGGGCTTGGAGCGGAATGACCCTATTCAACAATAATCTTTTAGGATGACAAAGGTGCTTGGTTTTCTAAGAGCAAGGAGGGGACTAGCGACTACTATATGTACATGAAAGGAACAGCCGTGCTTAAGGCTCCCAGCGGGTCATGTCTCTAGGTCCTGTATCGGCGATGCCCCTTTATTGGGCGGTGAGGTTGTTGAGCTTTGACCGTGTAATAGAGGAAGAGCGCCATGCCGGCCGCGGCAAGCAATATTCTAAGCACGTTAAACTGAATAAAGTAATGCTTGATAGAATGTACTAGATGTCGGCCGCTTGACTGCTTGGAAGGCAAGGCACCCAATCTCGGCATTGTGGTGGTTCCATAACAATAGAGAGAAGATCGGGGCCGCAACAGCTGGAACAACTATGTAACAACTATGCAGAAAGTACCAAGCGCCCACCTCCAACCTTCCCCACCATCATTCAGGAGAACTTGATCACGAGTCCTTGCCAGTTGTTTGAGAAGAAGAATCGAAACTGTGTGGCAGAGACTCGTCCAATATTTCAAGTCCGTTTGCCAGCATGGCCGGATGTTCATGACAGCACAGTGTGGCAACACGGTCGCCGCCGAGGCTACTCGGCTCTGACAGCCCGTATACAGATGCCATATTCCGTAAATGTCTCAGCTCTTACTTCCGGGGCATGTCATATCATCCATGTGGGTTATCCATCTCACCCACATTCAATTGAGGTAGAGACAAGGGCAAGGCGATTACAAGGTGTGGAATATCCCTTCAGTCAATATTCAACTGGGCACTTCCAGAATGGTAGGGACCTGCATATAGGCAAATCACATTCCATATGTTCGGGCTAAACTTATTAAGTATGCATGTGTACCTACGAAGCATTACGAGTCGCCCAGGGTCTGAAAGTCCACTAGGGGCGCGTTGAAGGGAGAAGCGGAAATATCTGGAACGTTGAATAAAAAAGAGAAAATAATCCGGAAAAGAAAAGCTTAAGAAGCTCTTGAGCTTCTAAACTCGACACGTAGTTAATCTCGTTTACGAATCGGCGGAGGGCCGGGGCCGAAGGTGAGAGTGCAAGCCGAGCCACATAAGGCTCAGCCCGTTACATAGTTATACGCTTCTTGAACAATAGTTAGGTGTCCCTTGCAAGCGGCCACCAAATTAGCGCGTCAAATAAGGTAATTAATGTGCATATATAGCTGGCTGTTTACCATCTTCTTATAACATTTGTTCTGTTTGTATTAACAACAAGCATAGCTTGAACTAGCTTCCCTTAGGCAACATACAGTGGGATTGGCTGGTAAAAACTAAAATGTTCCTGCGGATCCCACTTGTTCTTCAGAAACATTGGCCTGCCCGGTTTTTTAGGCGAGTACCAGGCCCGTGGACTCTCATCGCCGTGTGCAAAGTTGACGTAGATGGAGAGGTGATCCAGTCCGCTCGTAGCCTGCAAGGCGGCTCGCGCATCCGCGAAAAGCCTGTTGGCTTCTTTATTAAGCGTGGCGTTGGGATGATAGTTGCTCTGCATGGTTCTGGTATTATCAGAATATTATATTAGCCCCCGCAGCGACGCTCCCAATGGGCCAGGTTGTGTCCCTGTCCCTGTCTAACCTTGCGCAGATGCTGCGCCGCGAGCTCAACGCTGCCAACACGCCGTGGGCGATTCGCAGCTATGCTACGTTCCTTTCGCGTGAGCCAGACAATTCGCGCTTGTCGTATGCTGGCACGCGCAACTTCGACACTGATCTCGGTATGACAGTATTTACGTCGAGTCAATCGACCCGTGGCGATGACGGGGAGGCTATGCCGGCCGACTTTGGGCCGCTTTTGGGCCGTCTTAAATACTCCCGCCGTCCGAACTGCTCGCCTCTGACCGGCGGCATTACCATTTGTCCTGTTGAGGACGGCGCAATTCCCATTGTCGTATGCTTGCCGCAGGCGGATATAGATGGCCTACAGAAGGATAGTGAGTGGACGCGATGCGCGAGCTCTGTTGGTTAATGAATATTCAACTGCTTGATAAGGGCTGTGGACTTGAAAACACCCCATAGTCTTAGATACAGTTTATACGTGCTCACGGTGTCATGACAACCATCTGTCCCCAGCCCGGAACCTCTTTTGCAAGCTTCAATGCCTTGTCCAGATCCCCCAGACCAAATTCCCCAGCAACATCTTTGCGCAGCGTCAGGTTTCCAGCTTCGATAAGTCGAATCGTGAGCTCGACATCTTGCCGGTTCTGCGCAAACGAGCCAACGACTGAGATGGAGTTCGCCCTGATGGTCAAGTATGGCAACGGCAAGTTTCCCGGAATCACGCCGGCTAAGCAGCATCTGCATTTTCCGGCGCATTAGCCAGTAATCCAGTCAAGTTATTCTCACCAGGTGACGGTGACGTACCTTCCAAAGCGTTTCAAGCTGCGTAGCCCAGCTTCAAAGTGGGAAGATTCAACCATCTTGGGAGATGAGAAGTCAATGTAAGCGTCAGCGCCCTTCCCATCCAGTGTAGCGGAGCGCAGGACATCGGCGTCGGCCATTGCCTCTCCTGAGAGCACAAGCGGTGTGATACGCTTGCCATCCTCTCCAAAATGGGCCACCAGGGCGTCAAGGGTGTCTTTGCTCCGGCTCGTCACGACAACATTGGCGGCGCCGAGACCCAGAGCGGCAGTGATGGCGCTGGAGCTGAAAAACCCCGTTCCGGGCATCACGAGCACCGTATCGCCTGGTCGGATGTGAATGGCATTGGCGGCGCCGATCGCAGACATGACGCTGGAAATCTCACACATCTGTGACGGCGTGATACCAAGTTGCGCGATGCGCTGTTCATTGATCATGTGCACGTTCTCGGCTGGGAAACGAGCGTACTCTGCAAAACAGCCATTTTTGTAGTGGCTTGACGAGAACTTGAGCTCTTCGCTTGAATGGCCACCGTGATAGCCTGCAGATGCTCCCCGTTTGTCAGGAACCGTGAGTCCAACATGTCTGTGGACATTTCTGCACCTTCACTCACCCAGGACAATGCGCTTCTCTGGCGCATCGCGCAAGTAAACGATATGATCGCAGAACACCAACTGCCCTGCCTTCAACGCCACAACGTCAGGCCCAACCTGGTCGATACGTCCGACGCAGCAGGTCCCGAAAACGAGCGGGTATGCGTGAGGGAAGCGAAGCGAACCCTCGAGTACTTCGGACTATTGTCTGAAGTGTCAGTGTGCTTGTTGAGCATCTGTGAGTCAGACGATGCGCATCTGGACGCAACACGCACCACGTAGTCCCAAATTGGAGCTGCAAGGACGCGCACGACGACTGAACCTGGGGACGCTTCGGGCTTGGCCACTTTTTCGTGGTTAATGTTTCCTGGTCCATGTAGCATGAGGGCATTCATGGTGGCCGCCATAGTTTCGCCTGCTGGTGATACTGAATAGGACTGATTAGTTGACGTCTATGGAGGTCATTGACACGTACGCGTATATACACGGTCCACCAACACGGCACAGGACACCGTTATTGCAGATAAAAAGTCCGAATGTTTGTCCGGGAGTATCACAATTAGGAAAGCGGATCCCGGTCCAACCGGCAATTCGCGACAGGTGTAGTTCCTAAGACTGAGAAGAGTCTGGCCCGGTAGTATTTTATTTCATCACTATATTTCGGCCTACATCTACATTCAAGTCGGATACACTATCGCGAGACTCTCCAATCTCGACTAGTCGTATTTTGGATACTTCATTTCTGATTTTGGCATGAAAATTCCGTATGGAGAGCCAATGCTCTCCCAAGAAGAAGACGACCAACCTGGGTTCTCAAGTTTCAAGAGCTATAAGTGCAAGACAAGACAGGAAGCAACTCATGATTTTACATGCGCACTTCTGGATGCCGCCAGCACTGCCAGCGCATCCAGTGATGCACTTTGCATGATGTCGAAGCTCGAGATTTCAGCGGCGATTTGGCCTCTCAACAAATTGCCAAGGTCGACCGCCACCATTGAGTCCACGCCGTGCACGCCTGGCGGCCTGCTCATATCGACGTCGCTCACTGATATCATCAAGATACGGGCAAGTTTCTGCGCTATCGCTTGGCTGACCAGACGCTCGGCTTCGTGTTGCGACGAGGCAGCAGCCAGCTGGATCGGGAGCCTGCCGTCGTCATCATCTTCTTTGCCCTCGCCAGCTCCCTTCTGCTGCCGCGGCTGACGATGTTGCAGGCCAAAGAACCGCGCATCCCTTCCAAGCTGTGAGAAGCCGTCCGGGTCCCAGTGTGGCCCTGGACCTGCATTGATGCCTACCACAATGTGCCCGGCATATGGCTCAAGTATCGCCAACTCTATCAATTTGCACACCATGTCCTGGTCTAGTGACATCTGGCCCAGCTTCTCTAGGCAGCTTCTTAGCTCCGCTCTCTCTGCCAAGTGGCCGATAGATTTGACGACCGGCAGGTCAATGGACACACAAGGCAGTCCACGACTTACACGGCATTGTGCCAGTGCGTCCTGGTAGCTGCAGGCTGCGGCGTAGTTGGCTTGGCTCGCGTATCCGAGGGTGCCTGCATTTGATGAGAGGATGACAAAGAAATCGAGGTCACCAATATGGGGAAACTGCGAGTGTAAGTTCCAAGTCCCGTTGACCTTGGGCATAATGACTGTTTTGTATTCATTGATGGTCATCTTCGCAAGTAAGGAGGCCTGCGGACTACTTGTCAGCGAGCGGCTATCAATTGAACAAAACTTTCGGCAGCCCACTTACCTGGACAACCATTGCGGCATGTACTATGCCTCGAATTGGGGGAAGCCGGTCTTGCCGGCACTCTTGAAGCGCCAATGCCAAGTTAGCCGCGTCCGAAACATCGCCACTGATAGCCTTGATGCGACAACACATTTCCTGCATAGCCTCTTCCACGAATCCTCCTGTTTTGATTCCATCTCCAGCACTGCGTGATAGTAGTATCAGATTCTTCGCACCGCGATCAACCATCCACCTCACCACTGACCGTCCGATTCCGCCAACACCACCAACTATCAAGTAAGAGGCGTCCGGCGAGAGCGTGGTCCTCTGTCGGCGTGCAGGATTATCCATCTGCAAAACCTTGTCCCCTGATATCCTGTCTGTCGTAGAGTAGTTCACCGCCTCTGGTACAATAAACTTGTTTTCATCAAGGCTTTTTTGCAGTCTAGGGATCAAGAAGGTGCCATTTCGCTCGGCGTACTCGAACTCGCTGGGAGCTAGGAAGGCTGAAGTGACATTATTGCCGGCAAACTCCCTGTGTAGTATCTGCAAGATCAGTGGAACAGTCCTCTCACACCAAACCGGTATTTTAGGGTCCAAATCCAAGGTACAGAACTTGCGTCCCACGTATTTGTTTCGTAAGGATCGTATAAAGCCAACCGCGAGCCCGCGGTCAGGCTGCTCACAGTCAACTGCACCGCCACGAGTGATCCAGAGTAGCCCTTTACAAGAGGTGGACATGGACTTGATGCCCCCCAGCTGCGCTGTTTCGAGGGGGGCAAGAATAGGCTGAACCATCTCACCGAAGAAGACACAAATTTTGCCAGCGAACGACGACGGACAAGAAGTCTCTAGCTCCTTCACTGCAGGTATTGGTCCGTCAGTAGAACCCATGGTTCCCATGGAACGTTGAAGGGATGTCAACCAGTTCCTTGGGACTGGAGTTTTGCTGCTAGTTACGAGCAAAACTTCCTTCAAAGACGGTCCTTCAGGTTGTGAGTCAGGCACGGCAGTCGACATGATGGTTCTTATCGAGTACATGCCCTCACTCTCGCGGTCGTGCAGCTCGAGATCAACACCTGTGAAGCCACTGCTTTGCAACACTGTGTTCCAAGATGTAACGCTCAGAGACTGGTTTGAGGGTCGCAACTCCTCTTCGCTATGACGCCAGTCTGGAAGTAGCCCAAGTACGAACGGCAAGTCTATTCGATGCCGAGTCATCTCCATGAACAGGAGACTCCCGCCCGGCTTAAGCAGTTTCCTCACATTGGAGATAGTTTTAACCTTGGATTTTGTCCCGTGATAGTCAGGAAACATAATGACAATATCGTACGTTCCGGTGTCAAGGCCTTGGTCGGCTGGATCTTTCTCCATGTCAAACACACTGTAATGCACTATTCCGCTCCATTCCGCGAACCGGGGTTTCGCCGCCTCGAGGTGGTCTATCGAGATGTCCGTGAAGTGGTACAGCAAAGCCATTGGGAATCCATGCTTCGTTGCCCTCATCGCATTGAGCCAGTGCCGCGCCTTGCTACCCGTACCTCCCCCAATCTCTATAATGCGGGCGCGATGGTTCTTGTGTACAATGCGCTGCAGTAAGTCGACTAGGTGCTGAAAGAAGCTGTCTGACTTGTATATGTTATTGTAGGATTTGTAGAGAAGCTTGAGTGGCTCGTCTTCCAGCATCAGCTCCGGCGGTGTTTCACTGCGCCGCAGAAAGTCGGCGAGGCGAGGACCAAGCTGACAGACCATCCGGACAATGACGCTTGCCTTGGCCGCTTCAGCGATTCGACGCTGGTAGTCCAAATCATTGTCAAACGGCCGCTGCGAACTTTTAGGGCCAGAGTTGCCGTCTCTTGCCAGCTGCACTTGGGTCTGCATCCACGTGTAGTACTTCCTGTGGTGCTCGTTCAGCCGTTTGACATCAACTTCGGTCAAAGCCGCCAGAGCATTCTGCATGAAGTCGATGCAAACTCGACGCAGGTCTATGGCTATTTGATCTTTCATAGGATCAAAGAAGCCATCTAGCTGGCGTTTCAGGCTCTGCAACGCCTGTGTGGTCGAGAGAGTCATGTCGGGAGCCCATTTGATCTTGTTGCATATGTCGCGCTCCCAGGGCTTGAACTGTGGTTGTCCGGGGCTGACAGGGTCTGCGTCAACCGATTGAGGCACCAAACCTTCCATCTTCACCGCGGGCTCATTGGCCTCATCATCGTTCAAACTGAGTATATTGATAGCCTTGTTGACTGATGACTCTTCCTCATGCCGAATCTGGCGGCTCCAGGGATACGTTGGGAGGTCGGTCAGGACACGGAGGTGAGGCCACTTGCCCCAGGGGAAGTTTATAGGCTCCAGACTAATAGAATAACCCTCGCACAGCAGACTGGCGACCAGATCTTGCAGGCTATCTCTTGCGTTGGTGTTGCGGAAGAGGCAACTGTAGTATGGTATCTGGATGCCGTTGAACTCCGGAAGCCTCAGAATCTCTGTAATTAGAGGCCTTAGGGCTGAGTGCGGTCCGATTTCGATAATTAAATCAACACTGGTGCCCGAAGGGTCAAAGTCACCTAATACCATGTCGGAAATGGCTTCGATAAAGCGCACAGGGTTCGTCAGGCTCTTGACCCAGTACTCTGGCGTGGCGAGTTCGTCGACTCTATGAATTCGGCCACCCGTAACCGCCGAGGAGAAAGAAACGGAACCAAGCAAATCGCCTCCCTCGGCGATTTTAATGCCGTGCTCGGAGAGCGCTTCCTGGTAAGGCTGGGCGATTGGATCCATGTGGTGAGAGTGATAGGCCGTGTCTACACGAAGCCTGCGAGCGAACAAACCGTCGGCCTTGGCCATGGCTTCTACCTCTTCCACTGCAGAGGCATCTCCAGCTACTGTGACGCTCAACGGACTGTTGACACATGCGGCGACTGCCCTACCATTCTCGAGCCGCCTCAGGTAGGACTCGACTTGGTCTATACCTGCGCCGATCGCAATCATGCAACCCTTGGGAGATCCAGGGCCGTGGCTCTCATTAGACGTGAGAACAGCACGATAATAAGCTACTGCCAAGGCTGACTGGTAGTTGAGTGCACCAACAGTGTAAGCCGCTGCAATGTCTCCGCTGGAGTGACTCGCCACGGCAGTCGGCCTGACACCCCAGGAGCGAAGCAGACGCACCAGTGAGATCTGAAGCGCGGCGCATATTGGTATACTCACGGCTGCGTCATTTACCCTTGTGGTATCGCCGTCGCGGTGAAGCTCTTCCAACAGCGACCAATCGGCACCGAGTTGCTTCAGATAGACATCGCCTTCCTCCAAGGACGCTTTAAAAGGGGGGTAGGCGATGATAGCCTCCCGGCCCATAGCGTGCCATTGAGCACCCTGGCCGGTAAATACCATACCAATCCGTGGGCGACACCTCTTTGGCTTGAACTTAAGCGCTTCCAAGCCTTTGATGACCTCGTCGATGCCTCGCGAGAAGGGGACGCGGCAGGCTGCCACCCACTCGAACAGGGTACGTCGCTGTCCCAGGGTATACAACAGGTTCTCCAAGAGCGCCTCTTCGTTGACCACCGTCCCCTTCCTCTTCTCCAGATAATTTTTCAAGTTCAATGTAATCATCTTACTAGCTCCCTCGTTTCCGGCACTTAGGACAAGCACCTTTGTCTTGTACTTCTGTGTCGGCTTCTGTGTTGGTGCAGGAGGATCTATACGCGGCAACACTGATTCTGCGTCTTCCAATATGAAGTGGGCATCGGCGAAACCAGCGCCGAAGCTGTTGATTGAAACCCGTTGGACGTCATCTGGACCTAGAGGCCACTCTTTGGCCTCATTCCCCACCCTGGTGCTGTCAGTTTTCAGCGGCATGACCGGGCTGGGTGGTACCAAAGCCTTCTCCATGGCCAGCACGACTTTGATTATCCCAGAGAGCCCGGTTGTAGCTCCCGTCTTGACGGCTGCTGTGTGGTAGCAATGGCGCGTTAGGATCGCTTGTGGGGTTGTGATGGCTTCGGTCTTGCCATCCTGGTTGACAAGCGTCTCACGGATTACGGCGCGGATGGGGTCGCCTGACAACAAGGCATCTTTTAAGAGCTTGATAACTAGGGTGGCAACTCTTTCGCTACAATCGTCTTCATTCGCCCCGGCTTCCAATGCGGAGGACTTGTCGATGGGGCAAAGGACACTAGAGCAAACCTGACACATGGGTATATCTCGACTCAACGTGAGGTTCGAATCTTCAACAACCGCCATGGACGATTCTCCACTCTGTAGGCTCTGCACGGCCTGGTGGAGCGCCACCAAGCTGGTGGTAGTATTCAATGTTATGCTCGGTCCCCGAAAATCAAAGAAATGAGATATTCTCGCCGCCGCAACGGCACTGTCTGTGCTGGTGTTTACAGGCTTGGATAGGGTTTGCCCGTTGTGGTTTACGCTGTCCTCGTGGCCATTGTTGCGCCTTGCTATATATATAGACGTATTGGTGCCAGAAATTTGAGATAAAGGAAGACCCGCTGGGTGTTATCAGTGGAACTGTTCTGTGATTGAATTCGTTGAACAAAGCAGTTGTCGGTTTTGCGGTCATGTACGGCACTCACCATTCTCCGTGGCCTCATATGCAGATTCCAACTCGAGGCGAACCAGTGAGCTGAGGCTCTATTAGTTCTTCTATTAGCTCTCAGAAACACAAGTTTGGGCAAAATCAAGATCTTACCGCCGCGAGTTCTGGGGGAAAGTCAAAGAAGTGTGTGTCGAGATTGGTAGGGCTACGAGTGTCCCTGGCAGACTTGTAGCTGAGACCAATGATAGCAACGGGCTCGCGGGACGGTTGGGCACCAATGCTAGCCATTGCTTCTAGCGCTTCTTATGGTAACTCGAAAACACACAATTAAAAATCCGTGAACACAGCTAGGACTTGGAGTTCCCGGCAGTATTGGTCCCTGGCACGAGATATAGATTGGGCCGTCGGAAGGGAAGCGCCGCCAAAATTTCCTTGCTTATATATTGATTAATGAATTGGACGTACTTCATTTGGTCTACTGCGGTGAATGAATTGTAAAGCCTTGCTGGGAAGCCGTAAATTCTCTGGCTGGTCTATGAAGCAGGACGTTTCGCATATATGAGTGTCCTTACCAAATGGTGGGATAGATTTATGGTGCGATAGTATGAAGTACAGAGACCTTTTTTTTTGCCCCCACCCTAGAGGCTACCCACCTGCCCATGTACTTGAATTTTTTTAACAGTCTACAGGAAATTGGTGGTAGCCCCAAAGAAACCGCTCGTGTGCGCGCATCAAATGCAAGGTGGACCTGGATTTACGCCGGGTATGATGAAGTCTGGTGGCAGCGTTAAAAAGTCCGGGGATCCACCCACTACAAAGATACATATGTATGTAAAGTCCGGGCGGAGCACATCAGGCCCCACATGCCCCACATGCTCCGGACCTGTTGGCGGATTCTCCTGGTTCTTTGTAGCATCAATGATATTTACCGGTTCATGTCACAGTTTGTTACTTACATTGACCGTTCACATCGCTGATAAAATAACACCAAGTCACTAAAATGCTGGCCACGTTGTGCAATCAACACCACAAACACAGCCATGGCAGTTCCAGTTGACAGCGTCCTTTGTCTAGACCCTACCCTAAGCCTCCCTCGAATTCTCTGTCTCCATGGCGGAGGTACCAACTCACAGATATTTCGTGCCCAATGTCGTATCATCAGGCGGCATCTAGAGAGCTCGTTCCGTCTCGTCTTCCCTGATGCGCCTTATTTTAGCAAGCCCGGTCCGGACGTGACATCCGTCTATGAAGCATGGGGTCCGTTCCGCAGCTGGATGAGACCCCAACCGGATGCCGATGGTAACTCATTTTCTACCCCCTGTCATTGCATCAACGATGTGGATTATCCGTGCGATTGATGGATCTCTTGCAGACGCCATGGAGGCTGACGACCAACGAGGTGCGACGGGACAATGGGTCGGCCTACTCGGCTTCAGCCAAGGCGCAAAGATGGCCGCAAGCCTGCTATTTAGGGAACAGTACCGCATGGAGCGCCAAGGCTGGGTGCGAACGTACCAGGAACAGCTCGCAGCTGCCTTGGGTCAACGTTCCATGTTTCGCTTTGCCGTCCTGCTAGCGGGTAGAGGGCCGCTTGTCACGTTGGATGAGGATTTTACTGCTTTCTATGGCCCAGAAAAAGATATATGGGAACCCATTTTGCAACTACCTACTGTTCATGTCCACGGAACGCAAGATGATGGGCTGGCCATGCATAGAGACTTCCGAAATCGCTGTTGTACGGAGGAGAGCACGACGTTGGTGGAGTGGAACGGCAACCACCGTGTTCCTATTAAAGCTGTACATGTTTCTGCAGTAGTTTCTGCGCTGATGAAGGCATACCAGCAGTCGCAGACGTTATGACCGCAAAATAGTAAAGACCATAGAAATAAGAATGTTCTGCCACAGAAATGAAGAATGGAGAATGTTTGCTTATATAATATGATTCAGCACCAGGAATAGATATAGAAAGCCGTGGCCATGCCCTTTTTCTTGTACAAGAGAACAACCTTCGTGTTCTGTTTGCTTTGACTCTGCGTCCATGCACATTAAACTTGAGAGGGACCGACCAACTCGTTGATGACTTGGGATGAATTGACACTGAATACACCTATCTCTCATACTTTAACTGATAAAGCCCCCTCTCTGCGTGGAGAATTTTCTCCCTCAGCTTAGTAGGCAGTAGCCACGAGAGAACGCTGGCTCTACCAGCCTCTCCGCCGCGCCAAATCTGCCCGCGGCGTCCTCGCAACGTGTCCTTGACAAGATTGCGCGCAGTGACATCGACGGGTTCACTGAAGGGTGCTTGCATTTCGCCCCGCGATTGCTTCTTAATGATTTGCTCGATGGGCTTGTAGTACGAGTCTGGAGGCAGGGAGACCTCGTGACCGTTGTAGAGCTGCGTGCCTATCGCGCCGACCATGGCAGTTACAACTCGGACTCCCAATGGTGCTAGTTCAATTTTCAGCGTTTCAGAGATGAAGGTCGCTGCGGCTTTCGAACTATTGTACAATCCTGCGTATAGCATCAATGAGTCAGCAAGCACTTTGTCAATGCAGCCGTGAAGAACGAAGTGACGAACCTTGCCACGCAAGCGGCACCGCGCCGGCAATCGACGAAATATTCAGGATGACACCCTTGGATTCAATGAGCAGAGGCGCAAAGGCCTGGCTCACACCCAAAAGTCCCCAAACATTTACATCGTAGGCCGCCTTGCCCTCCTCAATTGACGCATGAACCAGTGGCCCGAATACGGCTGCGCCGGCGTTATTCACCAGGACATCGAGCTGTCCGCCTGTCGTTTTGCGTACCAGGGCTAGACAGGACGATATCGAGTCGGCCGAGGTCACGTCAAGGCCAAGGACCTTGATATCTCTCTCTTCTGAGAGGGCGCCAGCCTTGCCAACGTCCCGCACGGTTGCCAGTACGTAGAAGCCTTGATCACGAAAGGCTTTAGCGAGGGCGAAGCCTAAGCCTCCGGTGCTGCATCCAGTCACGAGGACGCGCATTTTCCGAACCGTCATATTTGATGCTGGTCTTTGGCACAGGAAGGATGTTGTCGACACTGTTGGTGCGAGGCACGCTACAGAACGACAGAAAGGTATTTGGCTGGAGCATATCAAAACCAGAAGCTACGAATAAATGCCTGGTCGTCCTAAACAGCATGGTACGCCGGAGTTTTGTTGTTAATAGCAAGCCTCGACGTGGGGGCCGGAGGAGTTTCAAAACTCCACGAAACTAGACTCCTAAGAGGACCTAGTAACTCCCAGGTCTAGCGTAGATAGACCTCAGGTTTAGGTAAAGTAATAACAGGATCTTAAGATAAAATTAAAATGTATATAAAATTCTTTTATAATAATTGTAATATTATAAAGCGTATAATAATAAATGTTACGTGTAATTTAAGTCAAAGTGAAGTCTCTTATAGGACTTGAAATTTGCTTGTATTAGATCTAAAATTTACTATATACCCGGCTCCTAAAACTAATAAATAAGGGGCCTTGGTTGGTCTAACCCATCCTCATTCGGGTACTGCATTTAAACCAACAATTTCAGAAATTTACAGGGCAGAAGTGCTTACAGAACCATTAGCGCCATATCAAGATTGATACTTGGTTAAGGCTGAGACCCAGTGACTAAGAGAGCGAAATGATGACGAGGGTAGCTCAATCAAACGGTGCACAAGCTCAACGGAGCCAAAATCAGAACAATGACAAGACTACCACCGATTTGTCTCTTAATATTGCAGTAATCGGAGCTGGCATTATCGGGGTCATGACGGCTCTTGGACTGCTACACGCAGGCCATAAGGTGACTGTATTCGAAAAGGCTGACGACTACGCCGATGTGGGTGCTGCCATGGCATTCACTGGCGTGGCGCGAGAGTGTATGCAAAGACTGAATCCCGCCATTCTCGAAGCTTTGCAACGTGTCGGAGAGACGAACCGTCACCGGATGAATCGCTACTGGGACGGCTTCAGTCCGGCTAGCAGTGAGGCGGCGCGGTCGGAAGAGTCGTTGCTCTTTCAGCAATCGGCTCGTGAATTGGACTATACGGGGTGTCTTCGTTCGGTGTATCTCCGTGAGATGGCCAAGTCGTTACCAGATTGAATCGTAAAGTTTGGCAAGTCCCTCGACAGCTATTCTGAGGATGTTGCAGGTGTTGAGCTTCGGTTCGCCGACGGCAGCACCGTGCAAGCAGACGCAGGTTCGTCCAGTCACCCTAAACATAAACGACGGGGAAGCATGGTTGATTAACGCTGGGAATTTCCGTCTTTACGCAGCCGTAGCCTGCGATGGAATTCACTCCAAAGCGCGGCGACTCTTGCTGGGAGAAGACAATCCAGCGTCACGCCCAAGCTTCACCCACAAAGTCGCCTACCGAGCCATCATCCCCATGGCCGATGGCATCGCGGCTCTCGGCGAAGATAAAGCCAACAATCAATGCGCACGCATGGGTCCGGATGCCCATCTGCTTTCATTCCCCGTACGTGGTAGACTGGTGGCACAGCTACAACTGCGCACGACTGAGCAAACAATTGACACTTGACATGAATCACACAGGTAGCCCAATGGACTCTCTCAAATGTATTCTTATTCTTGCATGACCCTAAGCCGTGGCCGAACCCGCACAAGACAACAATGGAAGTCGACAAGTCTGAAATCGTCCCGGTCCTGAACAAATGGGGCCCCGATGTTCGCCAACTGCTCCAAAAGTTACCTGACCGAGTGTTTGCCTGGGCCATTTTCGACACGGCTGACCACCCTGCCGACACCTACGCCCGAGGACGTGTCTGTCTGGCCGGCGATGCCGCCCATGCCAGCAGCCCGTTCCACGGTGCCGGTGCGTGCATGGGAGTAGAGGATGCCCTGGTTCTGGTCTCGGCTCTGGACACTACCTTGTGTTCCATGAGCAATGGCGCCAGCAAGAGCAAGGCAGAGGCCATATCCGCAGCATTTCAAGGGTATAGCGCAGTCCGCCTCAAGCGCTCCCAGTGGCTGGTTCGCAGCTCCCGTGACATGGGCGACATTTATGAGTGGAGATATCCGGCAACGGGAAACGACGCTGTCAAGATCAAGGACGAGATTGAGAGCCGGTCGAGGATTCTCTGGGATTTTGATGTGGGAGACATGGTGGCCAAGGTGCGGGCAGAGTGCCAACAGGGGATGAAACTGAATACGACGTAACTGCCGGCTGATACGACACTTGGCCTGTTGATGACAGGCCTGCAAGCAAGTAAATCAAGGAAAATTGATGCGAGTGCTACAACCTATTGATACAGACTACACTCATTCATTATCCTGCTAGTGTTTCCTGCCATCATTTTTAGGAGAGGGGTTAAACATCGTCTTCGATATAATCAGAAATTGCCATGATAGCTTCTAGTTTATTATATCTGATCAATTTTTGTGTCTCAAACTTTGAAATACTAGTGCCCATCCTGTTGGACATGATCCGCACTTTCATTGACTTGTGAAATCGTCAGCTCAGTCCAAATCCACTGATTCGCCGCCCAAGCCTACCCCTGGCATGGTCCCGTCCCGGCCATAACGAGAAGTCGGACTTTCTTTTGTGTCTGGACCCTTGTTTATAACCCCGAAACCGTCGACGCTACATGTATTGTCACTCCGGTGACATAGATTATGCAGCTAACTCCGTCTGCATCTAGATTGTCTAAGCATCTTGCAGAGTACAGTAGAGTAAGCCGAGGTTAGCTGTCCGCATTACATTTGTCCTGCTTGCCGCGCCGGCCTCTGCCGACTGAATAGCCCGAGTGTTGCTCAGTCTCAACGTACCAAGAGTACTGTGTCGACAAGCGTCTCAATAGATTTAAAACTAAGCATTTTCTGACCAACGCCTTACTACAGCCCTCCTCATCGAGACCATTCCCCTACTTGACACTTCAGCCTTACCAATATGGGCGGTATGGCTTACCTAAAGCCGCAGGAGGCAACGATGCTCCTATTTGGCCCCCAGGCCTTTTCGTCTAGCAAGCTATTAGAAAAGATCAGGAATACTCTCTCCAGCGATTCTTCAGAGAAGCAATGTATTCTCGATACGGTGGCAGAGTTACCGCAGCATTGGAGCTCACTGATAGAAAGGATACCAAGAATAAACGGCGTGGTCCCGGGCGAGAAACACCTTGCAGACTTGGCTTCCTGGCTTCAACAAGGCCCGCTCGACGAGTATAAGCTGGAAAGGCTGCCTAATTTAGTACTCACACCCCTCGTTATTCTCGCTCAGCTCACTGCGTACTGGCGTTACCTTGAAATCAACAAGCCAGAAAAGGCAACATCTGGAGCAGAGAACGATCTACAGGCAAACCTAGTATCTAAGCGGAACAGTCGGGATGGTAGCCCGCTGCAGACGATTGGGTTTTGCACTGGTCTTCTCAGCGCATTCGCTGTGGCGAGCGCAAAGGATCAAGCTGACCTCGAGAAGTATGGCGCCGTTGCCGTGCGACTGGCCATGCTTGTCGGTGGCCTTGTTGACGCCCAGGAAGCTTGGAACGTGGAATTTGGACAGGGTCCGTCCAAATCATACGCCACAGCCTGGCACAACGCTCAGGAGCGTCAAGAGTTGAACCGAATTACCGATAGCTTGTTTCCCCAGGCTTATATCTCGGTGCTCTACGACGAGTCGCGAGCCACAGTCACAATAACGCAGCAGGCTGTGCCTGCTTTCCTGCAAGCAACCAAGGACTCTGGCATCACCGTGGCAGAGGTCGGCCTCCGAGGCCGCTTCCACAGTCCCAGCAAGGACTTCCTCACACTGACGGACACGCTCGTCGAGCTGTGTAATAGCACGACCCTTCTCCGTTTCCCAAGCTCTTCAGAGCTGGCGCTGCCGACTTACACCAACGACGTCGTGGATGGCAGGCCAGTTGGAAGCACCACCGACGTTAAAGGTCTTACATTGACCGAGATCGCGCTGCGTGCCATCCTTGTAAAGCGGTGCAATTGGTACTCAACTCTTGCCGCTGTGCAAGCAAACCTCAGAAATGACGTCGCCTTCCTCTCTTTTGGCCCAGACCGCTGCGTTCCGCCCACCCTGGCCCGCCAGCTGGGTTCCAGACTCGTGGAGTTTTACGACTTGGACTTGGATGGGGAAGTGCCCCAGCACCTGTCAAGTGTTTTGGATCCAGATGCGCATTTGTTGCATCAGCAGCAGTCGCAGTCGCAGCCTCAGCCTCAGACTCAGCCCAGGGATGAGAGTGACAATGCCATCGCTGTCGTCGGCATGTCTATCAAGGTGGCCGGTGCCGACGATCTAGATGAGTTCTCGCAGATGCTTCGAATTGGCAAGTCGCAACATGAGGAAATCACCTCGGAGCGCCTTATGATGGATACCTTGTTTCGAGAAGGCGACAAGGATCCGAAACGCAAATGGTACGGGAACTTCATCCGCGATGTCGACGCCTTCGACCACAAATTCTTCAAGCGCGGCCCTCGCGAGGCCTTGACCATGGACCCTCAGCAGAGGCTCTTCCTGCAGGCTTCGTATCAAGCTGTCGAGCAGTCTGGCTATTTCGCAGAGACAACCTCCAGCTCTCCGGTGCGGGACAAGAACCATGTCGGGGTGTACCTTGGTGCGTGTGCAGGCGACTACGAGCATCACGCCGCCGGACACACTGCCAATGCTTTTACCGCAACGGGTAATCTCAAAAGTTTTATCCCAGGCAAAGTGTCGCACTATTTCGGCTGGACTGGGCCATCTATGACTTTTGACACGGCTTGCTCTGCCTCTGCAGTTGCCATTCACACGGCGTGCCGCAACCTCTTGTCAGGCGAGTGCACAGCGGCGCTCGCGGGTGGCGTTTCCACCATCACGAATTTCCTGTGGCATCAGAATCTTGCGGGAGCGAGTTTCCTAAGCCCTACTGGACAGTGCAAGGCCTTTGATGATGCAGCTGATGGGTATTGTCGAGCTGAGGCTATTGCCTGTGTTTTCCTCAAGAAGGCTTCTGACGCTCTTGCCGACGGCAATACTACCCTGGGCTATATTCCGTCGACTGCTGTTTATCAGAACCAGAACTGCACTCCGTTATTTGTGCCCAACTCTCTATCACTATCTCAGCTGTTTACCGACGTAATCAAAAAGGCGCATATTACTCCTTATGATGTCTCTGTAGTTGAGGCCCATGGCACCGGAGCTCCCGTGGGAGACCCGGCTGAGTACGAAAGTGTTCTCCAAGCACTGGCTGGGCCTACTCGATCTAAACCACTAGTTCTAGGCTCCGTCAAGGGACACGTCGGTCACAGTGAAGGAGCATCTGGCGTGGTGTCTCTTATCAAGATTATTATGATGATGCAGGAAGGATATATCCCTCCGCAGGCCAGTTTCACCAAGATGAGCCACTACATTAAGACGTCGCCGACAGACATGATGGAGGTTTCGACTTCTCTCCGACCATGGAATGAGGAGCGCAAGATAGCTCTGATCAACAACTACGGGGCATCTGGATCTAACGCGTCCATGATTGTCTCTCAGTCTCATTACAACAGCAGCGGTCAAGCATCTTCCTTTATTCGGGGCAGCGGCGTCAATAATGCCCCGTTCCCTTTCTTGATCACGGGTTTCGACGCGCGCAGCATCACCGCGTACACCGCCAAACTTCTGGCTTTTCTGAAGGCCAGAGAAAAGACCAGTGTTTCTCTAGCTGACGTCTCATTCAGCGTTAATCGACAGTCCAACCGTACTTTGCAGTATGGCATGATGTTTTCTTGCCACTCCATGTCCGAGCTTGAAGAGAAGCTTAGTATGCCGGACAAATCGGTTGCTCCTGTACAAGCTGTGCGCCCGGTAGTCTTGTGCTTTGGAGGCCAAGTGTCAACCTTTGTTGGTCTCGATCAGAATATTTACCGCTCAATATCTGTATTGCGCCATCATCTGGATCAATGCGATGCCATAATGCGGTCACTTGGCCTCAGCTCCATCTTGCCTGATATTTTCTCACGGTCGTCCATCACGGATCCTGTAAAGCTGCAGTCTATGCTCTTTGCCTTACAATACTCCTGCGCCAAGTCCTGGATGGATAGCGGCCTTGAGGGAAAGATTGTCTCTGTTGTCGGGCACAGCTTCGGTGAGATTACTGCATTATGTGTGTCTGGTGTATTGAGCCTCCTCGACGCAGCCAAGCTTGTCGTCAGCAGGGCCAAACTAATTCGTGACGATTGGGGGCCCGATCCCGGTGCCATGATTGCTGTTGAGGCTGATGAGGAAACCGTTTATAAGCTCTTGGCGGAAGCAAACCGACGATATGAGGGTGAGTATCCTGCGAGCATCGCTTGCTACAATGGTCCGCGAAGCTTCACCCTGGCTGGATCTACCAGGGCCATTGATGCGGTCGCTGAGACAATTCCACAACTCGGATCTATTAAAAGCAAGCGGCTTAACGTTACTAATGCTTTCCACTCCACTCTTGTCGGACCTCTTATGAGTCGCCTGGAGGAGGTGGGTAGAAACATAACCTTTGGCGACCCTGTTATCCCTCTTGAACGTGCCACAGAGCACAGACCGGAGGCTGGTTCCAGGATAGCATCGACTTTTGCAAGGGACCACATGAGACAGCCTGTCTATTTTAATCATGCTGTGCGCCGCATAGCCGAGGACCACCCTTCAGCTATCTGGATCGAAGCTGGATCAGCCTCCACTATCACACATGGCGAGTAGAGCCTTGGCTGGTATGGTCAAGCCTGATGCCCATCATTTCCAGGCTTTAAGTCTCACAAACACTGAAAAGGGAATCCATGGCCTGACTGATGCCACCCTTTCTCTCTGGAAGCAAGGTCTACGCGTTTCGTTCTGGGGACACCATCCCTTACAAACCACCGAATATGCGACTCTACTTCTTCCACCCTACCAATTTGATAAGGTCCGGCATTGGATGGAGCTCAAGTCCCCTCTGAAAGCGATCACTGAGGCAGCTGCAGCTATGGCGGCAACTGCCGGACCTGTGGTGATACAGCCACAGCAATCAGTAGATGAGAGGCTGCTCGGACTGTGGTCGCTTACTGCCTATGAACAGAATGAAAGTCCCAAGAAAGCTCGCTTTCGCATCAACACTGGCTCTGACAAATACAAGAAGTACATCTCAGGCCACTTGATCGCGCAGACGGCGCCTATTTGCCCGGCTACTCTGCAAGTGGACATGGCTATTGAGTCATTATTCAGCCTGAACCCGCATTGGACTGCCTCGTCAATGCAGCCCGTTGTTCTAGATATGAGTGACCACTCGCCACTTTGTGTTGATCCGACAAAGACCACGTGGCTTGAGTTTGATTCTCTAAATGATTCTGCTTCAGTCTGGGCATGGAAGATTTTCTCGACTTCAAGCACTGGGAGCAACGAGACCCATGTTGAAGCTAAACTGCATATTCGCTCGCCTGACGAAGCAGCCTATCAAACCGAATTCGGTCGGTTCGAGCGGTTGGTCACGCACAGCCAGTGTACGGCTGTGCTGAACCTGCCGGACGATGACGACGTCGACATTCTTCAAGGCCGCAACGTATACCCGGCCTTTTCTGACGTTGTTGACTATGGTGAGCTGTACCGCGGTGTTCGCCGCGTTGTTGGTCGCGCCGGAGAATGTGCTGGACGTGTCGTGACGAAGCACAACGGAGAGTCTTGGCTCGATGTCCCACTGAGCGACTCGTTCAGCCAAGTCGGCGGGCTGTACATTAACTGCATGACAGATCGTCCAGCAAGCGACATGTTCATTGCGACAGGTTGTGAGATGGCGATGCGGTCCCCGCGTATGGCCAGGCTGGGTAAAGATGAGGTTCCCGGGTCGTGGCACGTCCTAACCCGCCACCACAGACAAGGTGAAAAAGTGTACACCAGCGATGTGTTTGTATTCAACGCCACCACTGGCATGCTGACCGAATTAATGATTGGAATCACATTTGCGAGGGTAGCCAAGGCTTCCATGAGCAAGATGCTGACGAGACTGACTGGGGACGAATCGGTGCTAAAGATCAAGCCATCTCAAGCACAAGCTGCTCTGACGACGACAGTAGCCGCTCCAGTTCCTTTTCACCCTACACAGCAACCACAGGTACTCGATAAATCCGCTACTGAAACGTCCGCTTCACAAAAGACAAGCAGCCAGAAGAAGGGAACGGAGTCAGGGGTGAGCGCTGTCAAGCCCTCCCGTCCGGACGTCACGAATGACCTACGCAACCTCGTTGCGAATATTTCAGGCGTTGAGCCCCACGAGATTGAGCTCGATACAGAAATGGCGGAGCTCGGCATCGACTCTCTAATGGGCATGGAGGTGGCCCGCGAGGTTGAGAGCGTCTTCAAGTGTACACTGGATCAGACGGAGCTGATGGAGGCAACCTCGCTGCGAAAGTTTGTCGTGTGTCTCAATAACGCACTCTATGGACCGGGATACGACAATGCCGCTGATGAATCTGTTGGGACCGACAAAGATGACGACTTTTCATCTCAGGGCGCCTCTGATAACACTCCGACGGGCACGGGGGCAACTACTCCAAGTGTTCCAGACATCAAGCCCAATGCTATTCACGACGTGCCATCGGTCAAGCCAGCTGCAACAGCTACCGTCGCGCCGCCAGTCGAGACAAGCTTGAAAATCGCCAGCTCTGCTATCCTCAAGGCATTTGGCGACGTCAAGATGTTTACAGACCAGGAGATCAGGAGCTTCAAGCTGGATAGAATCCACAGAGCAGTTCTCGCCGGCTCCAATCGCCTCTGTACCGCCCTAGTGGTGGAACAATTCGAGAAGCTGGGATGCGAACTTCGAGCAGCCTCGCCGGGGCAGGTTCTGAACCGTGTCCCTTTTCAGCCACAGCACGAGCGACTCATGGAATTTGTGTACAAGTTTCTGGAGAAGGACACTCGGCTTATCGACATTGATGAGTTCACCGGGCAAATTACACGGACCAGCATCCCAGTGCCGCGAAAGGCTAGTGGTGCTATCTTTGCGGAGCTCCTGCAAGCTTTCCCCGAGTTTGCCGTCGCCAACAAGCTGACAAACTATGCTGGAAATCATCTTGCCGACGTCCTTACCGGCAAGACGGATGGCATTCGCGTTATATTCGGGTCTCTGGAAGGCCGTGACCTGGTTCAGAGCCTGTACCTCGACCACTCCTTCAACCGGATGCAGTATGGACAGATGCGGGATATCATTCAGCATCTGACGCAAATGTTGCCACGGGATCAAGGTCCTCTCAAGATACTGGAGGTTGGCGCTGGGACGGGGGGCACGACGTGCGTGCTGGCTCCAATGCTGGCGTCGCTCGGGTTCCCTGTTGAGTACACATTCACGGATATATCGCCATCCATGGTTGCCAACGCCAAACGCAAGCTCAACAAGGAGTACCCGTTCATGCGATTTGCTGTTCACGATATTGAGAGGCCGCCTGCAGGGGAACTCGTGGGCCATCACCTTGTCATTGGCAGCAATGCCGTCCACGCGACACATAACCTCGTCACCTCCCTGGCCAATGTTCGCAAGGCACTGAGGCCCGACGGCTTCTTAATGATGCTGGAGATGACTGAGAGTGCACCCTTTATTGACCTCATCTTCGGCCTCCTGGAAGGCTGGTGGCTGTTTGACGACGGCCGCAAGCAGGCCATCGTTTCGGCCGAGCACTGGGAGCGCGACCTCCATGCTTCCGGCTTCGGTCACGTTGATTGGACCGACGGAAGCCTCCCTGAGAACAGATACCAAAAAGTTATTATTGCACTGGCATCTGGGACCCAGTCTGAACGCCTTCCCTGTCCCATGCCCGAAGATGCATGTGAACCGGCCCAAGGTCTTCGAGACGTGGTGGCACACGAGGCGGAAGCCAACCGCCTCATGTCCAAGCACATCGATGCGTTCGCCGCACCACGGCTATTGTGCTCGGGTAAAACACAAGGTGCCATATTGCGGGACGGCCATGACGCAGTGGTTCTCGTTACAGGAGCCACAGGCAGCCTGGGCTCTCATGTGGTCGCCAGATTCGCCGAGGAGGCCGCAGTCAAGACAGTCGTCTGCGTGAACCGAAAGACCGGCACGCCCGTCACGCAGCGCCAAGCCGAGGCCTTCTCATCGCGTGGTATCGAGGTGTCTGACGATGCATAGCGTAAATTCCGTCTCATCGAGACTGATACGTCCAAAGCAAAGCTTGGTTTGCCTGCCGAGGAGTACGCATGGCTTGCACACAACGTCACGCTCATTGTCTACAACGCCTGGCCGATGAGTGGTACTCGGCCCGTCAAGGCATTTGAGCAGCAGTTCCAGGCGCTGCGCAACCTACTGGACCTGGCTCGCGATATCGCTGACACTAGGGGCCACGACTCGGGATTCCGAGTGGGCTTCCAGCTTGTGTCTTCGATTGGCGTTGTCGGAGAGGCCGGTAAGGCGCGAGTACCGGAGGACCGCGTGCCATTCTCAGCGACGCTCCTGTGGGCTATTGCGAGGCCAAGTGGGTGTGCGAACGCATGCTGGATGAGACACTTGGTCAATATCCAGACCGTTTCCGCACCATGGTGGTCCGCCCCGGCCAGATAGCCGGATCCCGCAAGAGTGGCTTCTGGAAACCCATCGAGCACTTTGCTTTCCTGGTCAAGTCGGCGCAGACTCTGCGAGCTTGGCCGGACTTTGACGGCGTGCTGCAATGGACGCCCGTTGACGCAGCGGCCGGTGTGCTGGTGGACTTGTGCCGCGTCGCGCAGCTGCACAACGCCCCGGAGCCGTATCCCGTGTACCATGTCGACAACCCCGTCGGCCAGCCGTGGAAGGAGATGAACCTTGTGCTGGCGGACGCGCTGGGAATCCCGGCCGAGGGCATCGTGCCGTTCCGATACTGGGTGGACATGGTGCGGCGGTCGCCTCTGCCTGCCGAGACGGACAATCCCGCCGCCAGGCTGATGACTTTTTAACGAGAACTTTGAGCGCATGTCTTGCGGCGGGCTGATTTTGGACACGAGTAAAGCCAAGGAGCATTCAGAAACGATGGCCGCCATAGGACCTGTGTCTTTTGATGTGGCTAGGCGATATGTCGCAGCGTGGAAGAAGATGGGCTATTTGCATTCTTGAGGGTCTGGTAGGTAAACAAGCCTTGTTCTTTTATGAAATGGGGCCAGGCATGTTTTTGTTTGAAACAGCATTCGTATTATTAGAGTGGGTTAGGGTTAGGGAAGCACCTTTACTAATACTCTTTATAGTTACTAGCAGTCTAAGAATAGTGCTAGGTAGTACTCTAGGGTTACTAGTAAAGCAGTAATTCCCTAGCTAATCTAGTATAGTAATACTCTCGTATAGTATTAGGTTTAGCCCTTTAGCTCTCTTAGCACGAAACCACTATTCTATCTTGCTAAACGCTATCTTAAAGAGTTATATAAAGGAGCATAGTATACCTGGGAAGATAAAGGGTAGGAAGTAACGCAAGATCTTCGTGTACTTATTTAGCTCCTTTAAAAAGAATCGTATGATTTAAAAGATAGGCTTTAAGACGGTAAAAAAGGTACGCTACCTTAATATAAGACGTAACGTTCTTATTGTAATAACCTATTTTATATAAAAGGCTATCTGTTCCTAGGCTATAGCAGCTAAAATACGCTTTTTCTCCCGCGTAAATAGGGTTAATAATTATAAATAATCTAGTATACGCTTCTTATAAATCTTACGAAGAAGCCGCGCGTTCTTAGCCTAAACCTATACTAGGCTATAACTAACCTCTAATAGCGCTAGTATTAAGGCTACTATTACCGTACCTTTTCTAGCTAATAGGTCTTTCGCTTAATATTAAACAGTTCTCTTAACTCTGCTATTATAGTCCTAAAAGCCCCCGTTAAAATTAAGGATATTATAGCCGTTTTTTTTAAGGCTTATATTATCTCGTATAACCGTATATAAATCGTTTAGGAAATCTAGTGGTCTTTTTAAGGTAAAGTTCCTATATTATAGGTGAAATACTAGCGGGTAAAACGTAGCCTCCCACGTGCTATTATATTACGTAGCTACGCGAGATTAGTCTACTAGTAGACAAATAGCTTTCTTAGCTTTCTACTCGCTATTATTACCACGTTACTTAGTATCCGTTAATAAGCTGCCCTTAAGGCTATGGATATTAGTAGCTATAGCGTAGGAAATTTACGTAATATGCTCTAGGTTATACTTCTACTTAAGCTCCACGCGAAGCTGCTTTAAGCCGTTCGTATATAGCTCCTTATATGCCTTATTCACTTAATTTAGGGGTTTAAAGGACTCTTTGCTACTATTATTATCGTTACCTTTACTACTATTCCCTCTAGTCTCTCTACTAGAGCGGCCTTCTTTCTAAATAAATAAAGACCCTTCTCTATTACCCTTTTCTTCTTTGCTTTCTTTATTACTCTTATTATTGCTACTATCGCTTTCGCTTTCGTTCTTGTCTATGTAAAGGCGCGCCTCTCTTAGCAGATATTCTAGGGCTTAGTTAACCTTAATCTTAATGTTTACTTCGTGGTTATATACGTGAAACGCAGGCTAATAGTCGCTCTAAAACTAGTTATACGCGTGTAGCTACGTAAAACTTAACTACTTATTTATAAAGACGGCCCCCAACCCACTACGCTGGACTGCACCTGACTATACTAAAGTGCCTCGGTAGTAAATAGAGGAACGTCTTCTGCCCTCAAATAGGCGAACCCCAAGGTTCGGTATCGGGCAGCGAGTTGTTCTTTGCTGCCTCTGCCCGAGTAGTTGATAAGGTGTGGTTGCGACTCCGCTTGAAGCTGCTAATGGATGAAACATCATCTCCTTCAGAATCGTTCACCTCATTTCCACTCGGCCCGACATACTTTGTAAGCCACATCTCGGCCTTGGCAGCTGTCCATCGCTTTTCCGGGTCGGTTTGCAACAGACCTTTCAGTAGTGGCGAGAATTCTGTTGGTGCCAGTTCCACCCTGGGCCAAACTGACTCTGATGCCCAACTTTGGAATCGAGATTCCGACAGTCCCTCGTGAGTAAATTCGCATTCAACCAGCAGCTCAAGAGCAATTATACCAAACGACCACAGATCCACAGTATGCGTGTAGCGCCGCTCAGTTTCCCATATTTCAGGGGCCGCATACACAGCAGATCCCACGAAGGTATGCATATGGCTTGCAGCGTGGTACTTCGACACACCGACATCGGTGATCTTTGCAACATTGCGCTTCATCGAATGGTCCCAGCGAATGAGAATATTCTCCGGTTTGAGGTCACGATGCGCGTATCCGTTGAGATGCATAAAGGCGAGGCCGGCGCTCACGTCACCCAAGAGAATGGGTTTTTGATCATTTTCAAGAGGCAGAAGTGAGCGCAGGTCGTCAGGAACCCATTCCATAATTAACCATGGTGGTTCGGGCTCACGCACTGGCACAAGATCAAAGGCTTCCACTATATGAGGCTAAAAGAGCGAGTCAGTGACATGATGGGAAAATAAATAGATAAATCACAAGTGTACCCACGTGTTTAAGTTTGACCAAATTCTCATACTCTTCGCGTAATAAAGCCCAACGTTTCCAGTTCACGTCTGGACTATCTGACGCTTTGTAATGAGGCACCTTGGCGGCAAACTCGATCCTCGTTGCCATGTCGACTACCTTGAATACAGAACCAAAAGTGCCGGCGCTGCTATAGCCGCCGACCCTCTTATATACCGCGCCACTTAAGGCAAACTTCACATCAGCCGTTTCGGCCGTATGGGAAGCCGGATTCACCGGTTGGGCACTCATTAAGTCTTTTCGAAACAGCTTCACGTGTTCATCATAGAGCCGTTTCCCCTCATCGGTGAGTTTTGGAGGCCAGACCCTTATTTCGAGAACCCCCGTATCAACAACAACTGGTGACCTGATATTTGTATACTGGGACCTTGCCAGTTCTAGCTGTCGGCCATTATCATCTCGTATGCGTACTGAATTTCTCGACAGTACTGTTATTCTTGCGCATCGACCGATGGGGTTTATATCAATTCGGAAGTGGTGCCTACTGATACCTGAGAGATTGCCCCTAGTTAATCGTAAGTCGCAGTCGTCCGAATCGCTCGATCCAGCCACCCAGCCCGTTGGACAAAACATGTTTTCCCTGAACCGCAGGCAAAACAAAGGGCTTTGAGGTACAGACGACTGACCACCTTTCCAAAGCCTTTCGGGGTCATGGTCTGAATCTGGTGGAGTGAACGCATATCTCTGATTCTCCGAGATATTGACAAAGTCGTCAACAAATTCCTTCTCGCCGCGGATAATCGTAAAGATCAGAACGATCTTGTCGAGACTGTTGTCACCTTCATCCGTCATGTTGAGTAAGAGTAGTGGTCAAAGTTCAGGTGAGGGATCCAAGCTGGGCTTCTGTATTATTGCAGGGACACAGAATGGTCTTTACCGTGGCAGTCGCAACAATGTCTTGCTTGGCCAAGAGTCCTGGAGAAATGTGATGAGGACAGCGTCGGCGAATATAGTATTAATTGATAACTAATTTTAGTTCATGCTGAAACGCAGCAGATTGCGAGGCACGGAGCGTGAATGAGTGCCTAGGCGTTGAGGGGCCGCCGGGGTGGACTAGGATTGGCTCGTCGAAAGCCACACGACCCGTGCTCAGTTAAGATTGGCGGGCGTTGCCGCCCACACCATCGCGACGTTTAACCACGCGCCCTCTCACGGGGCGCAATGTCATGCTGTGCCGCTCCCCATCCCCTCGGTTGTGTTAAGGCTGCAAGCAGGTCACCTGGACCCACATTAATCGAATGCAGCTAGGTACCTCAAGTGACCGCTAGTCGCGTTAAGGGGGCGATGTGTGTGATGTAGCTCTTTGTAACGCGAACGCTTACGAGGACTTCTATCATAGTGTAATTTAGGTGTGGAATTAAGTACCCTTTATAATCCGGCTTCTAATTGGATGAAAATCCCTACCGGTACAAGATTGCAGCCTTAACACAACCGAGGGGATTCTTGGTGCTGCTTTGTTGCGGACGAATACGCCGATGCTTACGCCTGCGGAGTCGCTGAAGCCCTTGCCCGATTTCAGAGCCAGGACTGAGGAGTTTTTGGCTCGTCGCTTTTGTGCTCCCCAGCTCCTGAGGTCCTTCCAGAAGTTCGCTTTCTAGACGGGCAGTGTGCATCTTGAGGCAGTCTGCCTCCAGCTCCCAGTAACCCTCATTATCGATGGATTGTCGGTGCTCGTCAATGTCGACACCCTGCTCTTTTAGGAGAGCTTCCACGCCGACACAGACGTTCCGCCACCGTTCCGCCTCGGATCTGTCCCTTTGTGATGATTGCCGTAGGTAGGCTTCCAGCAAAGTTAAAGCTTCAACTTGCCAGTAGTCCTTATCGGATATTGAATGGCGCGCGTCATAAACCACCTGAGCATCGAGGTTGTGGGCTGCTAGCTCGGCCGACCATTTGTTGGAGTGTGCGGTGTCTATTCGGAAGTCGATCTCCGGGGTAAGCTGTCGAAGTCTAGTGTTGAGTTTTCTTATGTCCAACTCGGGCAGAGAAATCCCAGGGGGTGGTGTATTCATTGTACGTGATGCGCCGCGTCGGGTTTTTACTGGGTTATGTTACGATGTTTCTGCGAGGGTGTTGAGCTATGTATGCACACAATGTGGCCAGGTAAAAAGACGGGCCAATCACGTGCCCATGTCCCTTATCCAATCTAGTTGTTACGAACCAAGGGTACCTGAAGCAGTTGGCCGGCGTTATGGGCCGCTAGCATGCAGGCAAGAATGGGGCCTAACGGGATCGTAGGTTACGTAAGGGGATTAAATAGAATTAGTTTAATTTAACTTAATAGATTAAAGGGAATTAACTTAATTTAATACGAGGGATTAAATAAAATCTATTTAATCTAGAATTATAATAGAGAGATAAACGAGTACTTAAGAAGAAGGTATTTTTATAGTTAAATAATTTAAATCTCTATTAATTAATTTAAGTAATAGTTTTACTATTAAAAGTTATACTCTTAATAGTCGTATTATAATATTACTTAAAAGCTACTTTATAGTATTTAACTTAACTTACTTTTTAAGAAATAAATCTATTATACCTTAAAACCTAAGCTATTATTATATTTTAATTAATTTTATTTAATAAGTTACCTTAAAACTTTAAGTAGTAATAACTTCTAAGATATTTACTTTAAGCGAAAAGACTACTAACCTTAAGGAGATAATAAAGTACCTTTATAATAAGATTATTAAGCTTAAGAAGTAAAATTAATAGCTTCTT